CCCCCCCCCCCCCCATGCATGCAGACCCTCTTTCCGCCCAGCAAGTGAGGGCACTTTCATGGGCTGGTGAGCGGGTCCCCACGCGGAGCCCAGCACCCCCAGCTGGGAGCAAGCGCATTGTCCGGAGAAAGTAATTTTTATGACAAACCGGACATGTTGATTCCCAGACTGTTCCTCACAAATCCTATTTCAGTCAAATCAGAAAACTATCATGTTTTGGGGAAAATCAATCGGTATCAGAAAACCATTAGCGCGTGTGGCACCTGCTCTATCCTGCATGAGTACCCCCCCCCCCCCACCGTCCGCAGTGACAGGCGTGTCACCACGGTGCCTGGGGACCAGCACTCCTCAGCTGTCTGGCAGCGGGCTGAGCCCGGCTCTCCTGCTTTGCGCCTGGCTGTCAGTCCTTCCTGACAGCCCTGTCTGTCATGCACAGACCAGTGATGCACTGGCAAGTGACACACGCCTGCTGCGGCCAGCCGCCTCTTGGGGGCCCTGTGGCTATTGACCAAATCACTGCCCTTTTTTTTTTAACTTAAAAAAAATATCATTATAATTGGGGGCTCGTACAACTCTTATCACAATCCATACATACATCCATTGTGTCAAGCACATTTGTACGTTTGTTGCCCTCATCATTCTCAAAACATTTGCTTTCTACTTGAGCCCTTGGTATCAGCTCCTCATTTTTTCCCCTCACCTTTTTCATTTTAAGTTGGGATTTCTGCTCAGAAGGTCTGTTTCTCCCAGGTCCCAGTTTTGAGTGGCAGTAAGTAAATCTCATCAGGAATTATTAGAAACCTAGGTGTAGCTTACTGTTTCTTTCCTCCTCTGAGTGTATGTGTGTGTTACCTTGTTGCTGTTGGGGTTGTACGCAGCAACAACCACAAATCACCCAGAAATCCTGTTGCTCTCCAGTGGGTTCCAACTCCTAGGGGCCTTGGGACAGAGCAGAACTCCAGCCAGCATGCCCGTGACTGTGTGTCCATCCTGACAGAAGCAGACCGACTGCTGCCTCTTTCTCCCGTGGGAGCAGCTGGTGTGTCTCTTAACTACTGGGCTTCAGCCGCTGCCCACTTGGGCCCCCTACACCCAGCTGACAGGGAGCGGGCCAGCAAGCCCCTAGGGGCCGCTCCGTGGTGCTGTTGGCCATCCCTCAGCAGTGGGCCCCCACGCCCTCAGCCACGTGCTGGCTGCCCCTCCGCCGTTGACAAACATTCAGCCTCGTCATTCTCACCCTTAGCCTTCTACAAAAACTGCAAGGACA